CCTTTAAAATCAGTGGGGGGTCCCCTGGACTTTTGAGCCCTGCTCCTACATCAAAACTCCAGGGCCACTCAATATGCACATTTTTGGTATGAAGTGCCATAATGCAGAAGCTTTTTGAAGTCTGAGGTTGCTCAAGATCTCCCTAAAGTTGGCTTCACCTGCAATAAAAAAAACTACACTTTTCCTGCTATTTCAGCTTCCCTGCAATGTATCCAAAAGCACCAACGCGTAATCTGCACATTGGTCCTCATAAGGTCCCCGAAGTTGGCTTCACCTTTCCCAGATTGCAGCTTCTCTGGGGTGTTCACAAGAGCATCAATGAGCAAACGCTAAGTTGTGCACATTGGTGTTACTAGGTGCTACACTTCACAATCCATCTCACTGAGCCTGACCATGCCATCAGTGTGAATGGGCCTCCCATTTCCAGCAGGGATTACTTTTTGTCCCTTAAGCATATCAGCATTTCCCTTCTCTGCTGCCACACAATATCAGTATTGGTAGAGCAGTTTACTCGAGTTGCGGGGAGAGGAATCATTTGTTTAAATTATAACTTTATTATCTGGGTCCCTTACATATTACAACTCTAGAAAAATCTGAAATTCCCCTCGATGTACTTTTGCATCCTGCACTCGAGACTTTTAATGATCACATTGTGGTATGCTCAAACATGTAATGCGATAAAGCTGCATAGCGATAGTCATTTACTAGGCCATAACTAGGCTTCTGCAGTTTTGTAGTTTATTTGTGAGCAAAATCAGAGGTTGTTTTACAGAATTTATTTTTTACCACATATTTTGAGTTTTTATTTTTGTGTTTAGCATCACTGGCCATAAAATACCAAGCATGCAGCATGTCACAATGAGCGCCCACAAACTACTTTTGAAACATTCACAATCTAAGGGAACGTCAAGTGCCCACCCCAGCGAACTTACGAGCCGACCGAGCTAACAGAGGTGTTCCTCTTCGTCAGCCGCTTCTCCGAGGAGCCGGCGCAAGGCAGTCAAGTTTTACCTATGGGCACTGGTGTGAAGCAGTGAAGCTTGACACAAAAACACCAGTGCGAAGCACGCTTGGCAAAAAAAGAAACAATTGATGGCAAATTGATAGGCAATTGTGTTGCATATGTGAAACATTTTAGCATCACGAACGTTTAGTGATACTCTCAAGTTTCCAGGCGCCAGGCGCCTACGTTCTCAGCGCTCTTCATCGGATAGTTATATGCGTGGCATGTGTACGCTTGATAGTTAGTTGTTCCTAGGATGAAGCGATACTACTGCTAATCGAGCTGATAAACCTGTGGATCTTCCAGAGCCTGCCATACTCGCGAGCTCCTTTCCCTCAATGCTCACAGGTGGTCGAGCTCCTCCTTGCCCACCTCACTCCTCCCCACTTACCCTCTGGTCCCATGACCTCCCCGTTAACCAATCTGCGTCGAGGACCTCACTCCTCCTCTCTCACCCATCAACTAATCAGTGCCGAGCCTCGCGGCCACGTTTTTATCTGGGCTTCATGAAATGCTGAATCTCTAGCCAAAGAACCTTTCATGTTAAAAAGGTGCGGTTGCTTTAAAAATAAGGGGTTCTGCCAGATCCCATACTGCTTCTGTACCATTCTGTTCGATCAAACAAGGGCCAAGCAATAGCCCACCCTTTCTCATCTTGAACCTAACAAGTGACCATTTTTTTGTCATCATCTCTTTTGGGTGTGCGCTTGCTCGGTATCTTATGGTAGAACAAACATTCATGACTTTAGTAAAGCAGCCTTTGCACAGAGATTGCAACGACAAATGAACCTTTCCCAATGTAACTCAATTTGTCAGAAATGAACACTGTTAATAAAAGGGCACCTCCGTATCAATCTTAATACTGAGAAAACAATGCAGTTCTTTTTAGTATCACCTAGAAAGGCCACACGCCAAATATTTCCACCTAAATCTGCCTAAAGTTTATTGAAATGGCCAACAAAGTTTAAGACGTGCCAAGTCACCACAATCAGCTAATCCTAAAGGGCAAGGTGCAGTCAATGGTGCCGTAATGGCACAGCCACATACATTGCATACATTGCCATTTTTTCCTCATTTTGTACTTTTCTAGCCTGCAAGTGACACCAGCAGCACCCTCATTGGTGTCGACGTGACTAGCAGAACACACATACGCCCCGGCACTGCACGCATCATTGCTTCATCACGATCAAAGATCTCTCTGTCACAGTAACAATGTGTTCATGCCACGTGGTTGATTATGGTTGTGACGACCGGTGGTGTCACTAGGATCACCAGCACCCAGGGTGGCGGCCTGCCGAGACGACACCCCCCTCCCTCCCCCTTTCACTGCCCAGCTGCACCCCCGAGTGCTGCACCCGGGGCGGTCCACCCAGCCCCCTTTGTGACGCCCCTGGTGACGACACAGGAGCAATGTTACCTGCCGCAGGCAAAATTTGGTTCTGGTTTTGGTTTGTGATCATCTTATTGCACAAAAAATATTTAACTTTATTGGAAACAATTTACATGGGTCCATTTATTACCACTTTACAATGTATAATCAACCATTATCCTAAAATTTTTGGGATTGAGTAAACCCTTCCTATAACTCCTTAAAGGGGTTATGGCACGCCGAAAGTAAAATATGAGATAACAATACTGCTAGGACCCATTGTATGTTCCTATAATCCTGCTAAATTTGTTTTAAAAATGGCACGACAGTTTCGTGGATAAATCGATTTATATGCGGGTCTTTCGGAGAGGCGGATCCGGGCGGAGCAGGAGGCTGGCTACGTAGCCAGCTTTCCGCGCGGCGTCCCCTTGCACACACTCACAGACTTGGCTCTCTTGGCGTCTCGAGCTTCAGCTTTCTCAATTACCTTCCGTGTTTCGAGCATGCAGTCCGTGACGGTTACGTCTACGGCTTCGCTCGTCTCGTCAAAGTGTTCAACATTGATCGCAGCAGCGATGAGAGGGATTGTTATCAGGAGATGTTGGAAGCTGTTAATTCTGACTGTGACCCGCTAGCGACCAGCTCCAGCGACAGCGAGTTACGGACGAAATCGCCGTGGTCACCGTCGTCCGAGAATATCTCGCAGGCGCATGCAGGGTGGAAGGTCAACGGCCGGGGGCGAGAGCGAGAATAGCGTTTGCGTTACCGAGCTGCACGAGAGGTTTTGATCGTACCGCGCCGAGGAGAGCTTGGGTGATCATGGGGGCACCTAGAATGAGAGAGCGCTCATGATCACGTGGTTTATGGACACCACGGTGGATGGATGGATGGTAATGGCTATACCCTTTGTAACGAGCAGCAGCTTGCGGCACCTAGCCTACTTTGCTTCATAACCCCTTTAGGTGCCTTGGACGAGCTGAGCTCGGCGGCGGCTTTCTGGTTAAAAATGCCACGGACGAGCTCAGCTCGTCCAGTGGTTTTTCTGGTAGCCCTCAATACCACGGACAAGCTACGCTCATTCGAGCGGTTTGCAGCGCTGATCATAGATGGCAGCACTCCTTTTAATTGGAGTTTTTTTTTTTTTTGCCGCTGTTGGTCGGTGAAGTGAGAAGATACTCGGCAACAGTAATTCAAAAATAGCGTCGTTAGCCAAGAGCGCATGCAAAACTTCATTGCGAAAAAGAAAAGCGATCGCTGAAGAAAGCTTGAGTGACCCGGAAGAAGTCGAGTTTTGCTCGTCGAGTGAAGACAATGATGACTTTGTTGCTGAACTCAGCTCTTCAAGTGAATCCGATGATGACGACGACAATGATTCGGATTGTGGTGGTGGTTTCACACAGTCTGCAATCTCAAATAAGGTGGCTGTACCATACTTTGTTTTACCACGAAAACATCAACAGGACTGCACTAATTTACTGTTTCTTTTTTTTTTTTACACTAAACTTCAGAGGACGTAAGATGCTTAATGCATATGCAGAAATGCAAGATGCTTTGCGCATGCATACAACTGTAACAAGGTTCATGTGCGCACAGAAAGATACATATTTTTGCATAATAAACTTTTCAAAGTCCACCTGTGATACTAGAGCAATAAAACTCCTCAATAAAAAAACATAACATTTTTAGGTCACTTCAAACAAGAAAAAGTGACACCTGTGTTAACTACACTCATCCATCTCGAGACGACCTCTTTTCAGATGGATATGTCGATAGGAATTCTGGTACTCAGCAATGTGGTGGGCAACCTTCATTAGCCATGCTAACTTGCATGTGACAAAATTCAGAGACAATAGTTGCTGCCAATCACTCGAGTATCTCAGAGTTCTTTAGCTTATTTAGTAAGAAGCTTCTTCCGGCTCATTGTGCAGAGGCACTGAAAAGTCTGACTGAATCTCTCGAACTTGCCTTGTCAACAGGCATGTGGAGTAAGTTCGAACAAAAATAATTCGGAAACAGGCGAACGAACGTCTCGGAAAGAGACATGTTTAGGGGGAAGGTTCGAAGTGGAGCAGCAGGGAAGCCAAGACTTGTTCCACTATTGCCGGAGGAAGGAAACCTCATTTTTTTAAAAGGGTTCAAAAGACATTTATTTGGAAACCTTCCAAACTGCAAAAGTTGCCCCAGTATTTCAGAAAAAGAGAAACACTGCTCATGTTTTAACAACTGTCAGACCCCAAATTCTGAGCATCTAGGAATACTACAAACCCTAATCCGCCATATTTTTACTGGCAAGTGTTTTTCGGATTTTATCAGATTTATCAGAAAGAGCAGAACCTTAGTCATAACATTTCGCAGTGCAATGTCTAGCCTATTGCTGGAGGCACTTGGATACACGAAAACTTTTGAATTAAAAAAGAACATGGTGATTCATTTCTCAATTCTCTTTCTCTGCGAGAACATAAAGTTTCACACAGAGAAACTGCCCTACGATATCTTTGTTTAGTATTAGTACTTGCTAGCTCGATGCCAACAAAGCAAGAATGAAACATATGTGAATCTGCCAGAAATGAAGGTTTGCACAGAAGTTGCGAACACTGCATCAACCGAAAAGCCCGGAGGAGTACTCACAAGTAGAAATCGGCAAGACGGTCAGCCTCCCGTATGCCGGACTCGTAAGCTCCATGCACGGTCGAGAAGAAGGAAGAGTGTGTTGCCTCGCCAGCAAAGAGCAACAGCGGATACTGGAAATAAGGTACACATCAGTGCTTCCTTACCTTTGGACCTTCAAGCTACTATTTCATAGTTCTGTGCAAATACAATCACATCACTTTCTAATGCCGACTAGAGGTGGCACCTTGAGAAGACCAGTGATTTGCAACCCTTGAAGGGACCATCAAATGAATTTTGGGCTGGAATAAATGATTTTAGATTGGGATCTTGCTAATTGGATATTAATTAGTGGACCAAAAACCAAAGGGGGAAAGTAAAAAAAGCCTGTTTTTCGGTACAAACATTTAAAAATATAGTAGACTATTTCATACCTCCTTTTCTTCGAAAGCCTTTTCGCCGTGGTACATACGCGGTACCCACAGCACGTCAGCCGACCCCAGCTGACACATTGGACACGAACAAAGCGTCACTCGGACGTACGCGCTCATTAACAATCGATCCGTCGACGAATATTTGGATTCGTGTTCGTGGCCAATGAGTGCCGTGATGGTACTTATCAACCTTTGCGAATAATAAGTTTCATGGTGTGCTTGAGAAACATGGTGGAAGCTCGGAGTCATCGCTCCGGTGCCCAAGCATGTAACCACTATGCAATTTCTTATTTCGCTCTTGAGTTAAGGATCAAAGCTACGGTGGAAAAAGTTAAAAAAACATTTCATGGTCTCTTTAAGGGGGAGCATCGCCTAGAAAACTCCTAGTTATTTTGCAAAGAAAAATTTGAAAAAATGTTACATTTAGGTCTACAACAGCTGAAGAGTATTTTTGCAAACTTTCATTGGTTTCTGTTGCATAGTTAAATTATCAATTATTTTTGGTGCCCCAGTGCAAAAAAAAAAAAAAGAAGGCAGAGTTCTAGACAATTTTTTTATTCCCTTTTTTTAATATAAATTTCATTTCTGGTCGATCTATCACAGAGTAGGCCAGACAGAAATATGCAATGGGCAACAAAAAAGAACTTTATTGTGTAAAGAGGAAATTAAAAAGGGGTGTGGCAGTACTTTTTAAGTTCTTTCATCTCAAATGGCGGCCACAGCAAATTCCACTCACAATGAGATTGCTAACTCTGTGCTTCTTCATTCTGTAGCCCCATTCATGAACCAAGCACACTGAAGTTTGGCCTGAATGATATTGCGGTCCTGAGCCTTCATTGTTGAGAAGAGTGCCACAGAGCATACATTGATACGAATATTGACAGAGACGGAAGTTTCTGGGCCCCCAAGCTATGGTGGCGCAAGGCTGGCAGAATGCAAGCTGTTCTTTATTCTCTACCTCTCCCCTTCTGATCTTGTGGTGAGGGGGGGGGGGGGGGGGGGGTACGCTTACCAGACAGCTGCGAGCTGAACTTCTACACAAGAACGCGGCTCACAAGCTGCAGTTTGGCCATTCCTCACCTATTGTTTGACAAATGTAACTACTACATGAAACACCCATTCTTCATTTTTGTTGCCTGAAATTTAATGAGGAATGCGTGTGCGTGATTGTTCGCCTACTTTATTGGCGTCGTTAATCAAAAACGGTAAGAGTTTCTGGAAGGTACAGAAGGCCTAAAAGTCGTAAAAATTTCTTTTTGCAAAAACATTTTCACAGTTGCAGACTCTAGACATTCTGCTTTGTATCAAGCGAAGCAAAACATTGGACATCCCATTATTTTTCAAGCGATAAATTGACTAACCAATGCTAGCCTGTCCCCACTAGAAACAATTGTGTACAGAGCTGCAACTTTGCATTGCATCAATTATTGTGACCAGGAGCCTAAATGGTTAATTTAATTAATTTTAACACAAGGGTTCTAAGGGCGATGAGTCAACTTAAAAGTGCCTCATTCTTATCTAGCCTTAGATTTGGAGTCAGAAAGCAAGCTCCCAAATCGGAATGTGCGGCCAACGACTGGCCAAAAGAAGTCCTCTCGGAGAAAGACCTCAGCTCCTGCTCGCCTTGAGCTTTGTTCCAATGCGTAATACGAAACTCAAATGAATTCCAGCAATGTTTCAAGAGGCCTATGTACGGTATCATATCATGAACTCAATAGTATCCTCAGAAAAAAAATAATACCAAAAAGTCACAAAAAAAAAATGCCCCCCCCCCCCAAAAAAAAAAAAAAAAAAAAAAAACAAGGCCATTTTTTTAAGGTCAGGAAAGAGTTCATTATAAACTGCAGATAAAAGGCAAACCAACAAAGGGCATCTGGCACTTGCACATGCCAGCGATGGACTGAGGATTGCTTTCGATCACCTGGGGATATTTGACATGCAACCAAAATTGTGATTGTACCTTCACTGCACAAGCCTTTGTCAGATCGGGGGCACCTCAGTCTGGCATTATGCAGGGTGGTTCATTTTGTGGTCACTCATTAATTGGGCCCCATAAATCACTTTACCGGATGTGTGGCATTTTGCTGCAGAGTTGTACTGGGTGATGGACGTGTGTTTTAATATAAAACTTCAGCATGGATGGTTACAGTGGCAAGAAACCAAAAAAAAAAAAAAAGACAGTATTTTCTATGGACAATTTTTTTGCCAGAGGTAGCTAGGGTGATAAGCATTCCCACCGTCTAATGCTTTTGTCAAGTAGAAACCTCAGTGACTACTAAGTACAGGGAGTTCCCAAAACAAGAAAAAAATGTTTTTCGGCCCAGGTAAACAAACTATGTATCACAGAGAGCTCCAGGTTTGGGAGAACGCGACGCTAGCGGTTGGGATAGAATGTGGAAGTTTGAGAAAATGATATTATTTGGATTAAAAGATAATTTAGAAAAACAAAATTTCCCTTAAGCCGACGTTTACCTAAGCCTAATGTCGTCCAAACAAGCATCGACACTGTGGGTGTCTGTAGCATGTTTCAGCAAAACAAACTTGCCACCAGCAAGAAAGAAAATATTCTCTTTCTTGTTGACAAATGTTTTTACTTATATAAATCCCACAAGTGTTGACAATATCATTTCTTGTTTTGACTAATAGGCTTAGGTGGACGTCGGCTCATAGTAAAATATCTTCTTTCTAAATTATCTTTTGATCCATGCAACGTCATGGCCTCAAACTTTTGCATTCTATCCGAACTGCGGGCTTGACATTTTCACGGAGTTAGAGCTCCCTGCGATGCATAGCTTATTTATCCGGGCTGAAAAACTCTCTTTTCTCGGGAACTCCCTGTAGTTCCTTGGTTTAGTAAAAGCGGCTTAGCACCATACTTGGGTAAATTACGTTGGAAATGCTATTTAATTAAATTACAACTATAGACTAGTACTTTGCTCTAAAAGTTGATAACAATTACAAGTACTTAGTGCACAAAATAAATGATACAATTAGCTAAAAACTAATTAAATTATCAAAAGTAAAGACTTACAAATTACCCAAAAGTAATAAAATTACAATTAGAGATTTGCCATAAGTAAATACTTCCTGCAATAGAATAGCTACACAAGCAAGACTTTGCAACAGGCATTCTGAGAGAGTATTGCCACTCTTGTTTGGCAAGGAGGCTTGAAGATATCAGAGCCCCTTGGGAAAAAAAGGAATCGGTGCGCACCATCACTTCGGTCCCAAAATGCACGACCGGCTCGCAGACGGGCTCTGCCAGGTCCAGAGGCAAGGAGCCAGTGGTGTCGCAGGAAACCGCTATGTAGGAATAAGAGCCCACTGAGAAGGGATCGCTGTGCCACGTGCTCCTGGGGAGAACAAGCAAAGGGTCCAGTTTCTTCTGGTCGCTTCCTGGCTCTATACATACTTTGCGGGAAAAAAAGAAATGAAGGACACGGCGTAATCAACTCCGATCTGTAAAGGTACTTAACTCATTCTTTGCAGTGAATGGTACAATCCTAAAATTTCAAATGACTGCTTTGTTAGGACGGGCGCTTGAGCTCCGTTCAATCTACTTGTCCCGTACGGGTGTCCTGCAGAGAAGTGAGACCAAAGCAATCCACAAGCCAGATTTGGCATCTCGCTGCCCTCAGCAGACTTCCAAAGTGCTCTCTCCCCGTCCTGTCTCCCCCGTTCAGCCAAAACATACATGGATACATTTCTGCAAATGGTTTTGCGAGCAAATTTTATACCGGGTTACCAAAACCCGCTTCTGTAATCTAACAGCTGTCATAAGCCTTACCAGAATACTGCTTCGGTAGGCTGTGCCTAGATGTCTGAAAAATTAACATTATTTCCTTCCATTGCACACTGAAATCAAAAAAGATGATAAAATCATCACTACTCTGAGAGAGGACACAGATGCAGCCAAAGTACTCGAGACAAAATCAAGTGTCAACACCACGCAAACATTCTAATGCACCGTTTTCTCTTCCTCCACTTTTGCTTTCTCAGCACCTTTATTCCCTCCCAAGAATTTTGCTTTCAAATATTGCTACATAGTTTATTTTCATACAGCCCTAAATGTCAAAGGGACCCTACAAGGCATTCCTAACTTTTTGTGAACTCGAATGACTTATGCACAAACCGGTGCGTGAGACTCTAGTTACACAATAAAAATATTATTGCAAAATCTGAGTCAACGAGAATGCAGTAGGTAAGATAAGTAAAGAATTTCGAGTGCCACTTCTCTCTGTTAGTGAGGCCAATGGAAGGGACCAATAGAGAAGCGAAACAAGGGCATACAGCCTCCACGAGCAACATTCTCTCTTGTTAAAAAAAAAAACACTCAAATCCCACAAAAAACAACAACAAAAAAAAAAACATTTAAGTGCTGGAGAGGACATGCACTACACTAAACTTTTCCACAAACATAAACAGTTTTGTAGCCCAATATTTATGCTGCAAGACAAATTTTAAGTTAGGAGCGAGACTAAAACTAACTTCTAATCTGCAGAGTTAGGGAGTACTTTAAGTACATTGTACTTTGAGTACTACATCAAGTAGGTTTAGAAAATTTGTACATTACTTAAAGTACATTACCTGAGTATGTACTTGTACAGTATTATTTTTTTTCTGGTACTTTCCAAGGAAAGCGCAATTCCCGACTTCAAAGTACATTCCCCAAATTCGGTCTCAGTGAACTTCAGCTCTTTCGAGGACCACGTGCTTGCGTCCTTGGCTTTCCCAGTATTACACACAACTCCTGAGGTTGAGTATAAAAGCGCATTTACCACTAACAAAAACAAAAAAAAAAAAAAAAAGGAAAAAAAGGTGTATTGTTATGTGAAAACGTGCTATTGACTTTCCAGCCGCCATCCGGTCATATCTCCGAGTGAAGTAATGACGGCTATCTTTCGGAGTTTATTATTCGCTGGAAATTCGGGGTTTATTGTAGTTTATTCTTTTATATTTAAAATTCTTTGAAATTTGGAGTTTAATTTTACTATGTTCCAGTTTTTCCAAATTCAATATAAAAATAAATGTGCGGACAAAAACATGCCCTAAATTTATAAGAACTTGAGGGTATCGAAATATATTCCTGCAGCTGCATTTAGCATTGGTGCCCTCGCGATTGGTAGTATTAGCTGCCTCATGCCAAATCTTGCAAACAAGTGTTGCTTCAACAAACGTCGATACTTTGAAATAGTCAAACTCCTAGACGTAGTCGTTGGGAAGCAAACACTTTAGCTTTCCTCCCCCCTCCTATGAAACCTACAGGTTCAAATCTTTCCCTGTTATAAGAACACAGGCCCTCCCCTATCCAAAAAGCACAACAGTATGGTTTAAACCGGAAACCGAGAAGTGCTTCTGTTGCCAACCAGAAGTGCATTGACCCGTTGTACCGAAAGTTGTACCGACCCATTGTACTGAACAAACTCCAACGAGATTCTTTTTGTCAATAATCCTAAACTAAAACACTGATGTAGCCTGTTTTCAGGACTACTAACCATGTGCACCGACAGACTTTATTCGTAAAACACTTTTTGGCTTTTTATTTTGCTATCGTGATATCGAAGTTCTGAGTTTTTCGAATAAATTCGAAGTTACAAAAATTTTACCAGCGAGTGTTTTTCGGATTTATCCGAAAACGCCACTCCTACTTACAAATTGATTGTGTTAAATAGTTCATCAGAAAGAGTAAAACAATTACTATGCGACCACCTGACTTTATCCAACATTTGCCACTATTTCCGAAAATAACCGATACATTGCCCCTGTGGCAATGCATATCAGTTAAAAAAACAAAAACAAAAAAAAAAAAATCTATAGGGGAAAGAAAATCTTGAAAGGTTATAGTAGTTTACTTCAAGTACATTGTGCCCGGTGTACTTACTACTTTACTTGGAGTACATAAGCTCTCATTTACTTTGTACTTGACTTCAAGTACTTTTTAGATGCACCTTACAACACTGCTATTCTGAAGGCTGATGGCTTCGAATAGAAGTTAGTTTTTATTTCTCTTCTAACTCAAGATGTGTCTTGCAGCATAAATGTTGCACTAAAACTTTTAAAATTTTTTTCAGGAAAGGTTTATTTTGCGACACACATGTCCTATCCACGCATTTAAGAAACGAAAACTTTTTGGGGAGTTGAGTATTTTTTTTAAAGGGACACTGACAGGGTATTTATGCTCGCCGAGGTTTTTATTTGGATATGAACTATAAGAGCCCAACTACCCAGAATATAATTTGCAACTCGAAATTCGCCTTCTTTCCTTTCGAAAAGAGCCGGTCGAGAATTGGTCACGTGGCGTTAAAACTATGTGTACTAAATACATTCAAACTCGTGGGTCATCTAAGGCACACATTAAATATTAAAAATAGAAAAGTATATGAACCCCATTTTTGTGGCCTCCAAGCAGTTGCAAAAACATTGATCGAAAAAGGAAGATGATCTACAGATTTATGGGTGCTTCAGGCATTGATGCGAGAGAATCTATAACATCACTAAAAGGCAGTGTTTGCTACTGATCGGTACTCCATTCGAAAAAGCCTCAGTTTTCTGCTCCTTGCAATGTTCCTGCACCATCAGGATCAGTTTCTGCACAGCACTGCTTGCCATTTCACACATCTCATTTCACATTCATTTACAAACTGGAGCCTACAAGCCTGGCTGCCTCGCTTCTGCAGTCACTAGTCTTCATCGAAACGGGCGGCACAGGCACGCGTGGCTGCACTTAAAAGGCAGTTTTTTATTTCTTCCGGTCAAACAGGTTACGGCTGTGTACTGGGTCAAAAGCCAAGCCTTTTGTTTTTTTGCATTTTGTGCACAGGGTTAGGTTGCTAAGGGCAGGCATCACTATGCCTATCGGTAAGTCCGCCCCTATTGTCAGCGCGAAAAGAATCACGCACACTCAGTTCTCTCGCGACGCCCACAGATTTGCGGTAGATCAAGGCATGACGTGTCCGGAGAGGTGCTGAACATGCCCATAGCTTAGAAGCTTGGGCGTATGCTTTGAGCCTCTTTGGCTAGGGGTCAAGAGCGCACCGTTCCATGTAGTTTGGCTCAGGGAGGTCCGGTCGGCCGAGGACCTGCCGGAGGACTTGGTGGCAGCCCGTGCGCACCTCGTCGTCGCTCAGGGTCTCCATGAACTTGGCTCCCTCTCCCGAGAGCCAGCAGCACAGCACTTGGGGCTGGTGGCGCACTGCGTTGAACCTCCCGATGTAGCGGAACCAGGATGTCTGGAGCTGGCCGTGCGTCACCCACGCCGACATGTCCTAGGGCAACCAGGCAACTCGAGTGAAGAATACCGAGCTATGTGCCATGTCTAGGCGCACAGGACCCTCTTTTCAAAATTAACCAATGGAGAAAAATGGGCTCCTCCATTTTTCCTCCAACAACTTTTGTTCCTGTGAGCGGGCTCATCTCAGCTTATGCACCAGTTTTCAGTCAATTTGCTTATGGTTGTCCTACTTGACATGATGTACAAAATATGCTTTTCAAGATATAAAAATAGTACAATTAATTTTTCTTATTTATGCCAAAAAGGAGCCTCCTTGCATCAAAGCCTAAGGCCTCCCTTCAGTCATGCAGTCATATTGTCATCCAAATACTTTTGTTTTTTGCGAGTCCAAGTACCAAGCATTTTTATTTTTGACCACAAATGTTTGGGTGAGAGGGAATTATATTTAATAGGCATTGAATAAGCACCACATGACCGGTTTCCAATGTGTCTCCTTTGGGCCTTAGGGTTCATTCAGACTGTGACATGTTAGAACAACTACAGTTGAACCCGGATATATTGAATGCGGAGGGGGTTGAAAAATAGTTAGATATATAAAAAATCCAATAAACAAAAGTATGCTAACTTAAGCTCCAGTTGAAATTTCCGCACACCTCTGTCAATACCGAAGATCGTGACAAATGGGAGCTCACCAAACAGAGCATGCAAGGATCGCTAAACACAGTAGAACCGTGTTAAAAAGTAGTAGTGGCAGGAGCCATGGGCACCCCCACTCGCGCTTGTGGTTGCGAACTCAACAGCACAAACAACATGAAAATAATTAAAAAAAAGAAAACTAGAAGAGCTTGACGAGTAAAAAAGCTGTTTCTTACTTCAAAAAAAGAAGTCAAGAAAGAGGAAATAAAAAAGGTACAAACGTAAAATACTGAGAAAGCGTCCACCCCACTTTCACTGTAAATTGGGTTAATCAGACATGGGCACTTGCCCGGTCAAATGATAAAAAAACAAGATGGCGGCCAACAATGAGCTTTGAAAGCAGGGTGAACGGAATCATAGAAAGCACATTTATTTTCAGATAATATCGCCATAGGCGGTCCCGTGCCTGCCGCAACGGGGCGAATATTTCTGGCTGATGCCGGCATTTTGTAAAGGCTAGGTGCTTAACATATAATTTGCAGAATTCCCAAGTTTGGGAAATGTTAATAGTGGGCACTTGTAGGAAGTGGGCACTACTGTGGTATTAGGTTAAAACAAAAATGGCAAAGTAAAAACTGTGAAAGAAAAAAAGTAAACAAAGATAAACAAGGCGCTCAAAGCACGACTGCACAACCGTTGTCAACAAACTCAACTAGCCAAAACCCTTTTTTTTTTTTTTTTTGTTATGGAGTCAAGGGAGAGGGTGATGTTTTCCTCTGCCTCTTGACATCTTTCACTGCCCATGGCCAGAGTCATTCCTTGATCCTCAGCGCATGCAAACCATGCCGCCATAGCAGTCTTTGTGGAAAGCCTCCCCACCAGGGGCGCGGCACGCAGTTCGATGTAATGAATGTCCCCGGTAATGAAGTTTGATACAGATGCACAAGGCACCTATACTTGGGATTTTCGAGGGAATGTTTTGACTGTTCAAAATAGACAATATTTTGAAATACCCGAGCTCGATATAATCGGGCTCGACCATACTTTTATTACAAGAACACATAATTTCAACATAGTCTTAACACAAAGCAATATGTCGGAACCGCTCGTCGAAATAAATCAGAGAGAATGGGTGTCTGGTCCTGTCTGGCTGGCCCAACTGTGCAGCAAAAACAAAGAAAGCAGACTCACGTCTTGGTCCACTTTGTTTCCACAATGGTTGAAGCCATCCAGCCACAGGACTTGGTACACATCTGTGGGCTGCCAGAAGGGATTGTCGTACTTGAGGAACACCTTGTCTACCGTGCCGTAGCCCAAGGATCGGATGGCCAGTAACTTCTTTTCCGGTAACGGGGGATCAAACATTGAGGACGCATTGGCCTTGAGGACTCCCAGAGGCAAAGTGACCACAACGTGGTCCGCTTTTAATGTAGTGCCATCTTCACAGACCACGGTTATTAGGGGCTTATTGCTTCTTAAGGGAACTGCAGCGAATGACGTCTTGAGATGACTCAGTGACTTCTTGATGGGGTGGAAGTTACTGGATGACAATGTGGCTAGGGAAGTGTTGATGTTAGTGACTTTTTTGTTCAAATGGAGCCACTCAGGAGGAATGCTCCGCATAATGACTTCAACAAACCGTCCATAGCCGTACTTGAGCTCGGTGACAATGTTGCCGTCACACTCGTGATAGTTTCCAAAGAACAGTGCAGAGAGATCGGTAAGAGAGCTGCAGCCTTGGATCTCATGTTGCAGCCGCACGGCCCAGTCGTAGCATGCCTCGATAAGCTTCACTTTACTCTCGGGGAAGTGGTTTGCTTGGATGTAATCAAGCAGCTTGTGACGCAAAAAATGGCCCACTGACTTTTGCACAACGCTCGAGGAGACGTCTCGAACTCCACTCAAAGATATCTTCAGGCACTTGTCCAATGCTTCCGTGACTACAGAACTCACCTCAGAAGCAATACAACTCTCTTCTTTCGTCAACTGGGGCCAAACGTAAAAGTGCTCCAAGAAAGATGTGCATTCTTCATCAACCAAATCGTTTGCCTTGGCCACTTGATATACAGCATTTCCTTCCTGGCCATGGATCCACTGGGCTCCATGCTCGATATAGCTTCCATCTTTAAAAAAAAGAAAAGAAAATATTACGGTCAATTAGCGCCACTTTTATTGTTAAAAATTGTAGATGTGTAAGTTTCCCAAACATTTATGCTGGTAATGTGGGAACTCAACAGCGCCACTCTTTCAAGGATACATATAAGTATGAATATCACGGTATACTTTTAACTGAAAAACTTTATTGAACTAGACTGCATTGGTTAGAACGAAATTCATGACAGGAACATCTTGCAAAAGCATTGAATTCATAAAAAAAAGTGAATAATTTTATCTAATTATCTACTATTTGTTCACATTCTGTGAAACTGTATTGAAAATAAAAACAGGTGGTCTACACTGAGCAGGAAAAAAAACCTTAAATGTTTCTAGTATGTAGAAACAAATAAAGAGGGATGTTCTCTTCTCTGGCTACATGTCAGGTGATAAATCTTTCTTAGGGGCACTGACCACATTTTGTTTCAACAACTCCATAGGAGCCTAGATGCCTATATGCAGGACTTGGTGTTTTAAAACCGACAAAAACACATAAATGTACGCCAAATTCATTTCGCATAACTGGGTTAACTGAATAAAGTAGGCATTTTACAGCAGTACAACACAGCTCATGAGCTTGTTGGAAATCATGGTAAGGCGCAAAAAAGAATGGATGCGAGAGAAATCAGACATACAGGCGCCTGTATGTCTGATTTCTCTCTTGTGTTCGTTGTTTCTTGCACCTTGCACCATGATGTCTAACGTTCACCAACTAGCCCAACTACAAGTTCTTCTAAATGAGCTTGTTCGTTTTCTTTTTTTTTTTTAGGGGGGGGAGTGGGTCATTGTGTGGCCTTGTGACGCACTTGCCTATCGAGTTGTCAGTCATCTTCTGGATTACTCGTACCAAATGACACAAGTCTGTCACAAGAGGTCGTGTGACAGCTGAATGACCCAGGCAAGGGATTAGAAGGCAATATAAACGTGGTAATTATATTGTTACATATACCTAGTGAAGCACCCCTCTCACAATTATTGGGGCATTACTTGCAGATAGTCGCACAGCCACACTGCAGTGTTTAAAGGGATACTGAACCGAAATTTAGATTTCGCAAAGTAAAGCTGCAGAAGTGTTGAATGGGACGCTACGAACTCTAAAACATCACTCGTACATCGAT